CCACAGGGTTGGAACTCAGGAGAAATATGGCAAGAAGTAGCAGGGAAGTAGTGGCAGCTGTGTTGTGGGAAGGCAGGAGGATAATGTGCTGTATGTAACTGGATCTCTTGTAACTCACACAAATTCTGTCATCCTCATCTCATTTAGTACACTTAACCAAATCCACTGTTTAAGAATGGCCTTGTCTAAAATATTCATACTTCTATGATTTAATTGGAGTATCTGCAGATGCTTACAGGATGTCTTCACTAAAACAACTTTATTTACCAAACATTACACTAACCTTTGAAGTTGCTATTTTGCAACATTGCAAACTGATGTAACAAACCATGACACATTTTAAACTTTATATTCCATATTCCAATCTATATAGTTTACAAATGCTTGCATTATATACAGTGGAACACCACTTCAGTATTCCATTTAAGATTTTCATCTTTCCCAATTAAATGTTAACAGGGTTTCATAATATTGTGGCATGTAGACCCATTGCTAGGCACTGATTGGGAAACAGACAATGGCCAATAAACAGCAACAGAGGAAAGATGTTTTCTGCATGGTCTGCACCAAATGCAGTGGATGCAACAATAGAACTGTTTGGGGAGGTGTTATAGGCAGGACAAATATAAGAGTTTAGTTAGTTGTGAGACAGCTGCAGGCCAGTAAGGACATGAACATGGACAGTGAAAGAGCTATGGCATTGGAAGCTGTTACCAGATGTCCACTGGTGAAGACACATCAGACATATGATTTAATATGTGCTGTAGTGAAATGCAGAGTGTGTGAATTAGTGACCATAGCTGCTAGTATTTATGATTTGTAAGTATTCAATAAATCCAATTACCAATCCAAACCCCATCTTTCATCATATTTAATACAGGCAACAGTATTTAGATTCTGTCATTGAGCTGTCGTGAGAGATAAAAATCACATTTTAATCTGGGTAAGATGACAGCCATAGTCGTCTACGTGTTGAAGAATGCCGTTTTCTGGGACGTGGCACCATGTAGATAGTGTATAAACCGACATTTCAGATTAATGTATCGCCTCCATCTTCAGGCTAGAAGAAAAACAAAAAAATCTGCGAGCGAGGAACCAGCGTGAGCAGGTGGCTACAGACTTAGACATCCCAGAAAGGCTGTGCCATAGCTCAAACGGTTAGTCACTGGCTTCCCACCGTGGCGGCCTGGGTTTGATCCCAGTTCTGGTCAAGTGGGATTTGTGGTGGACAAAGTGACGGGGCAGGTTTTCCCTGCCAATCTTCATTCCACCAAATTCTCCATCATCACAATCACCCGGGGCAGGCTACAATAGGCCAATCAGTGGCCGCCATGCCGAGTGGACCCAGTTTGAGTCCACCCCCCACTAAGTGAATTAATTAGACATCCCAGAAGGCATCATTCTTCATACTAACCACCATGAAAACCTCAAATCTTACATCTGCATGTTGTTCTTTGATGAAGAACAGTCTCTGAAGGCTCAATGAATCTTTGATGCTGTGTGCTTATGCATTGTCCTTATGGAAATAGATATTTTCTGCTTGTATTAATGCCAAAAAAGGAAATGCAGGAAAGCAGCTCTAATAATATTGTATTTTAGTGTCCCGTTGCACTGATTCGTATCCATAATGTGTATATATTTACCATCTTTTAGTGCATGCAGTTTCACTTGTCACTTCACACTACATGTTTCGGCATCATTCTGCCATCCTCAGGTGTATCATTCACGTTAAACCATTGCACTGCCTGCCATCAAGTGTCCATTTATAAAATGGTATAAAATGTGTGTTCATTGTTGTTCAATAATAAAATTTATATATTAAAACTTGTTAAGATCTATCATCTTACGAGTACATGTCGTATATCAAACTCGTGTGTAATGCCATTCATCCACTATGGGAGTCGTCCTTCTTATGTTTTAATTGTGTATATACTGTGTCTTATGATGTGTCTTTTGTATGTGGCTGCGTGCATTGTATTGCTGGCCGTATGTGTATGTACGTACTGCTGGACACATATGTCCAGCAATACAATGCACGCAGCCACATAAGAAAGACACATCATAAGACACAGTATATACACAATTGAAACACAAGAAGGACGACTCCCATAGCAGATGAATGGCATTACACACGAGTTTGATATACGACATGTACTCGTAAGATGATAGATCTTAACAAGTTTTAATATATAAATTTTATTATTGAACAACAATGAACACACATTTTATACCATTTTATAAATGGACACTTGATGGCAGGCAGTGCAATGGTTTAACGTGAATGATACACCTGAGGATGGCAGAATGATGCCGAAACATGTAGTGTGAAGTGACAAGTGAAACTGCATGCACTAAAAGATGGTAAATATATACACATTATGGATACGAATCAGTGCAACGGGACACTAAAATACAATATTATTAGAGCTGCTTTCCTGCATTTCCTTTTTTGGCATTAATACAAGCAGAAAATATCTATTTCCATAAGGACAATGCATAAGCACACAGCATCAAAGATTCATTGAGCCTTCAGAGACTGTTCTTCATCAAAGAACAACATGCAGATGTAAGATTTGAGGTTTTCATGGTGGTTAGTATGAAGAATGATGCCTTCTGGGATGTCTAATTAATTCACTTAGTGGGGGGTGGACTCAAACTGGGTCCACTCGGCATGGCGGCCACTGATTGGCCTATTGTAGCCTGCCCCGGGTGATTGTGATGATGGAGAATTTGGTGGAATGAAGATTGGCAGGGAAAACCTGCCCCGTCACTTTGTCCACCACAAATCCCACTTGACCAGAACTGGGATCAAACCCAGGCCGCCGCGGTGGGAAGCCAGTGACTAACCGTTTGAGCTATGGCACAGCCTTTCTGGGATGTCTAAGTCTGTAGCCACCTGCTCACGCTGGTTCCTCGCTCGCAGATTTTTTTGTTTTTCTTCTAGCCTGAAGATGGAGGCGATACATTAATCTGAAATGTCGGTTTATACACTATCTACATGGTGCCACGTCCCAGAAAACGGCATTCTTCAACACGTAGACGACTATGGCTGTCATCTTACCCAGATTAAAATGTGATTTTTATCTCTCACGACAGCTCAATGACAGAATCTAAATACTGTTGCCTGTATTAAATATGATGAAAGATGGGGTTTGGATTGGTAATTGGATTTATTGAATACTTACAAATCATAAATACTAGCAGCTATGGTCACTAATTCACACACTCTGCATTTCACTACAGCACATATTAAATCATATGTCTGATGTGTCTTCACCAGTGGACATCTGGTAACAGCTTCCAATGCCATAGCTCTTTCACTGTCCATGTTCATGTCCTTACTGGCCTGCAGCTGTCTCACAACTAACTAAACTCTTATATTTGTCCTGCCTATAACACCTCCCCAAACAGTTCTATTGTTGCATCCACTGCATTTGGTGCAGACCATGCAGAAAACATCTTTCCTCTGTTGCTGTTTATTGGCCATTGTCTGTTTCCCAATCAGTGCCTAGCAATGGGTCTACATGCCACAATATTATGAAACCCTGTTAACATTTAATTGGGAAAGATGAAAATCTTAAATGGAATACTGAAGTGGTGTTCCACTGTATATAATGCAAGCATTTGTAAACTATATAGATTGGAATATGGAATATAAAGTTTAAAATGTGTCATGGTTTGTTACATCAGTTTGCAATGTTGCAAAATAGCAACTTCAAAGGTTAGTGTAATGTTTGGTAAATAAAGTTGTTTTAGTGAAGACATCCTGTAAGCATCTGCAGATACTCCAATTAAATCATAGAAGTATGAATATTTTAGACAAGGCCATTCTTAAACAGTGGATTTGGTTAAGTGTACTAAATGAGATGAGGATGACAGAATTTGTGTGAGTTACAAGAGATCCAGTTACATACAGCACATTATCCTCCTGCCTTCCCACAACACAGCTGCCACTACTTCCCTGCTACTTCTTGCCATATTTCTCCTGAGTTCCAACCCTGTGGCCAGGTCAAAAAGCACAGCTTATATAATCGCATTCCTCCTATCCCACAACATGTTCCTGTAGACTCACCTATGCAGGAATTGTTATTAAATCTAATCTAATAGTTGAAGAATGTCTTACATATGAGAGGGCCACTGACACACTACAATGTGTATGCAAATACAGAGTGTCCCAGGAGTTTTGTGCCATACTTCAGGAGTGTACTGAGGGTTCCCTACAGAATAACTTTGAAATAGGAACCCATGTCCGCAAACGTAAAATAGCAGCACTAGGGCCTCATTTAAAATCATTTCGTTTAAACTTGGCGTCTCAATGTTGAACTGCATTGCACAGAGGCACAGACATCCACCAACACTCGTGACATTGCCAAGATTGTGGGGACATCAAAACCAAGTGTTTGGAGGATCCTGCATGACCAACAACTTTATTTGTATCATCCAATGCGAGTCCACAACGTAGGTCCAGCTGTCTTTGTAGCCCGAGTTCAATTTTGTCAGTGGATACGGAACCAATGTAAACATCAGCCCAACTTCCTGAATCATGTCTCCTTCACAGATGAAGTGCAGTTTACAAGGGATGGCTGGTTCAACTGTCGAAGGGCTGATGAACACCCCAACGTTACTGTAGTTGGTTACCACCAGGCACAATTTTCTGTCACTGTCTTGGCTGGCATCATTGGCGATCACTTGAATGGGCCTTTCCTCCTACCACCGTGACTCAATGGGCCCTTTGACAAGGTGTTCCTGGAATGTAGCCTTCCGACTTTGCTAGAAGACGTGCCACTGATTGTGCAGAGGCAAATGTGGATAGAGCATGACGGAGCACTGGCACACTTCAGCATTGTATCACAAGACTACCTGGATGCTGCTTTTCACAATTGTTGGACAGGAAGAGGAGGCCCAGTGCCTTGGTCACCCTGATCCCCAAACTTGACACCTCTGGACTATTTTGTCTGGCGCCATGTGAAAAGCCTGATCTTCGACACGCCTGTGGATAATGAATTCGAGCTGTTGGCCAGAATACTTGTTGCATGTGACGTGATCTGTGAGACAACTGGAATATTTGAAAGGGTGCACCAAAGTTTTTTCATTGATGTAACGCATGCATTGAAAACAGAGGGCGCCAATTCCAACATCTACTCTAGCAGGTGAGCCTTAAGAGTTTGGAGGGGGTAATATGCCTGTGCGTGCTCTTCGATGTTGAGGCGCCAAGTTTAAACAAAATGATATTAAATGCTGCTCTAGCACTGCTATTTTGTTTGCAGACATGGGTTCCTATTTCAAAGTTGTTCTATAGGGAACCCTCAGTACACTCCTGAAGTATGGCACCAAACACCTGGGTCACCCTGTATGTAACTGCAGCCAATGGAGAGATTTTTTACACATATCTTTAACTATGGATGCTCCCTATCATGTATGCGACAATGTGTCTTTAGATCACTACGTCGGCCGAATGACTTATTACACATGTTACAAGAAAATGGTCGCTCACCACTGTGTGTACGCTGATGTTGCTTTAGTGTGCTCTGCTGACTGAATGACTTGTTACATAAGTTACAGGAAAATGGCCGTGCCCCACTATGTATGTGATCATGTTTCTTCAGATCACTCCGCCTACTGAATGTCTTACTACACACACTACATGAAAATGGCCGCTCCCCACTATGTAAGCGTTCATGTTGTCTCAATGTACTCAGCTCACTGAATGACTTATTACACACATTACAGGAAAATGGCCGCTCCCCGCTATGTACACGATGATGTGTCTTCAGATCATTTCGCCTACCGAATGATTTATTACAAATGTCACAGGAAAATGGCCGCTCCCCAACATGAATGCGTTGATGTATCTTTAAGTAACTGTGCTGACCGAATAACTTATTGCACACATCACAAGAATATGGACGTTGCCCACTATGTCTGCGTTGATGTAATTTCAGGTAACTCTGTTGACTAAATGACTTATTACACACATCACAGGCATATGGGTGCTGCTCACTGTGTATACGCTGATGTGACTTCAAATAACTCTGCTGAGTAAAGGACTTATTACACACACCACAAGAATATGGACGCTGCCCACTGTGTATGCGTTGATGTGACTTCAGATTGCCCTGCTGACTGAACGACTTATTGCATACATCACAGGAATATGGATGCTGCCCACTGTGTATGTTTTGATGTGACTTCAGATTACTCTGTTGACTGAATGATTTATTACACACATCACAGGAATACGGCCGCTCTCCACTATGAATGCGTTCATGTGTCTTCAGATAACTCTGTTGAGTGAAGGACTTATTACACACACCACAAGAATATGGACGCTGCCCACTATGTATCCGTCGATGTGACTTCAGATAACTCTGCTGACTGAATGACTTATTACACACATCACAGGAGTATGGACGGTCCACATCATGTGCAAACTGATGTTCATTCAATGTGTTCTGAAAAAGAAAAACCTATAAGGATAAATCTTAACAGGAAGATGAATGAGTCTGAAAGCAATATAGTATATAAAATAGGTTAACAATTATTAAATGACAAGAGCTGCACTGTTTAGCAAATCCCGGTATGTCACTAGATAATTTGTGCTGTAAATGATGGAAGAATTACAGACAACATATTCTCATATAATACAGACAATCCTGAGTGGCATCTGAAAGATATCATACAATTCCTTTGTGCTGTGTAAATGTATGTGCACTGCTGTACTGTCTGCTCACGAGTGTTCAACTGAGATGGCCCATGTCCTTCCCACCCTCCAAGCATTCTTCTTGAGGCAATATGCTTGAACATCAGGGCACTGCTTCTAGAGTTTTGATACAGTGAAGATAAACCTAAATTCTAGTATGGCTTGGGGATTTTAGAAATGATGGGAGTGGGACCAACCCACACTTGTTGTGACCTGTTTAAAAAGCTTGAAATATTGCCAATTCCCTGTGTATATTTGCTTTCACTTATGACATATGTTGTGAACAACTACGATAAGTTTTTGAAAAATAACTATATATATATATATATTGTCGCATATCGGGCGTATATCGCAACAAATAACTTCACGCCGTATTTTGTATAGCGAATTTTATTTCACATTGGCACTTACAATCACCCAAATTACAGATTTACGGTTACTGCTATCTGCAGTATCACAATTAGTACACTCCAAATGCCAGAATACAACTGACTAGTTGCTGGCTAACTCGGCGGTAGCTCCAGGACTCACTGACTGACTCAGTACAACTGACTGTGAATAGCCTTCGCTGCTCCCTATGTAGCCTCGATCGGACAATACGGCCACGTAATAGGCACCCTTGTTGCGTCACCGCTGTTGACTCGCCTTGCGTAGTTACCAGGTTGCGGGGGCTCGGCTATCTTCGGCTCTGCTCGTGACGTCACCGCGCATAGCTGCCAGGATGCGGGGTGATTACTCGCCTATTACGCGAGCGTTACGTTACCGCT